GACCTTTGAAATAGAGACTGAGTCGATGGAAATTAAATGAATGAATTTTGGGTTTTACAGTAAACATTACCTTTAACAAACAGTTTACCCAAAAATTATTAATCAGCCATGATTTTTTTCAACACGTCTTTCTTTTTTTTAGACAACACATGCCTTATTTAAACTATTTTCTTGATGATTGTTAAATTTAAAAAAAAAAAAAATTGGTTAAAAAATACATATTACATACAAATACATTTCATAATGCATGCAAAACATATCTTATTAAGCTAATTTAATGAAAAATCACATTAATCTAATTTAATTTAAATTTATTTGTTTTATTGCTATAGTTGTTGCATCCTGTCACGTCCTAGTTGTTAATGTGTAAATAACCTATTCTAGTAAAGCTGGCACCTCATCCTAACTGTTAACTGATGTCATTATTACATTTTACAGAAAATATACTATACAATATGTGTCTGAAATGGCTCCTACACACGTATAAAGTACATTATATAAATGTATAGGAATATACCATGAACAGCAGCAACACTAATTATTTTCTTTATTCTCTGTTTCCACCTGGGTACACTCTCCCCAGGCCCCTAGAGACTATGCAGCACCATTGATGCGATACAAGAGCTGTGAAGAGATGATCCTAAGGTATCCATAATCCTGGACCAGGCCTCCCGAACTGATTCTGTGGTTCTCATGGAGGAATGGAGTGCATGAGAAGACCACCATGACAAACGAGTCCTTTCATTGATCCTGTGGGCCAGCCTGTCCTCCCGCCAGTTCTCTACTCACACCTGAAGCTTCTCCAGCCTCCAGCGCCTAGACCGTAAGTAACTCCACACAGGAAGTTTGGCCAGAAGAATAATGATCGTGCTCAACAGAGCCTAGTCTCTCTAAAGGTTTTTTTCCCCCTTCACTTCGTCAATTGGTGCAGTTTTTTTTTTTTCCTCCCCACTGTCACCAATGGCTTACTTGGATCGGGACCAGTGGTTCTGCACTTTGGTGGTTTCACTCAGTGTTTGAACTTTCAGCAGTGAAATTTAATCCATGCTGAACTAAACTAAACTGAACTTCAACTCTGAAATCTGGAGTTCACTAGAACTATGTTGAGCTGCTTTGACACAATCTACATTGTGAAAAGCGCTATATAAATAACCATGAACTGAATTGAACTATCTGAAGCGAAAGGGACAGCCATTTGAAGTCACAGTGGATGTTATCGAGTGCCCTTCTTCGGTCCCATGATGGACCACAATAACACTGATGTGCACTATATGAATAACCCCTAGAAAATACATAAGCAATAAGCACCATAAGATGCCATCCAGTGTATTATTGCCTAATGGCCAGCTGTCCATATTAAATAACATATTTTCATTCAGTAGAATCAGCAGATTTAGTCATATTTTTATCTCAAGTTCACACTTAAATATAGCTTGACGCTATTAGCAGGTCGATAAGCATAAGGGGGTCCAAGATCAGGTATGTCTCGAGAGCTCCCCCTGGAAAAGGATGAAAAGGAGGAAATTAAGTTGAAAGGGGGATCCTTCCAAAATGAAGATAAGGCAGTAGGGTGAAATCTGTCTATTTATTGAAGGCTTGAATCAATTTGATTGGATTATTGCTGCTTATAGACGAGACCAGCCACAATCAATCATACAGTATCACATGTTCTTCTCGAAATTAGTTTTTAAAACTTCACGTTGTAGATTTTTTGTGGAATAATGTAAGGAATAGTGAATGAGAAATTACCTATTGGGGGGCATTTTCAAGTGTCTATTTTTCTGTGTTCATGTTTATATCATGGTAGTTCTTTAAGAAGGAGTCTCTGTAGTTTGGCAGGTACTACTGTATGTGCCTGTGCTGTATCAGATTGGAAAATTACATCTCATCCCATCACATATCATGTCTTACCAGTGTCACTAGATTTGCTCCAGGTTTTATCATTGTTCTTCCAATATTCGTAACCACATCTACTTGTTACCATTTGAAACACCCATAAACAAGATAGGTGTTGTAAAATAATTACTAATGCTTGTGCATGCTCAATAGCTGAATTTGAAATATCTGAAATATATTTAATAACTGGAAATATCATGTTTTAAATGTGATTAAAGCTGAAGCAACAAAATTAATGATACTGTATTGGTCACTGATGATTTTATTACTGATTTGAAATATATAATTAAGTTCAGCAAGCAGTTTTGGAGATTTCAGGATTCTCCATTCATTTGGATAGTACTTGGCCTTGATGAACTGCCAGGAGGCATTGCAAATATTGCAGCTGAGTGAACAGATTTTCTTTGAAAGGGACTTTGATATGTATGAGTGAAATTAAGTATACTTTAAAAGGCTGAACTACTGAGCTACGAACAGTAAAGTAATGAAGTAAATATTTGTATGCATTTTAATTCATAGGCATGTGCATTATATTTGACAGTCAAAAAACAATGAAAGACTACAGGACCATATGTGCGAAGACACATATGCTGTGTCCCAATTCGCATACTTACACTACAGCCTAAAACTATGTACTTATTTAAAAGATAAACTTTTGAGTGTGTAACAGAAGAGTATGCAAGCTTTTGGACATACTACTTCCTCATTAACAGCTCTTTATGTTGCTTGTTTATGAGCCCTGTCAATCATCCACACATCATCCACATTTCTGTCATATTTAATTTCTTACCTTATTGGAGAGGCAGCAACAGGTTAATCTCCCATTCACATGTCTTTCATACAGAGAAATCTCCTCAGGTCTTTGGATAATTATGCATTCAGACTTCAATGTCCAAACACGTGTTTATATATGTGCAGTATTGTTTTTGCAGATGAAATATAACACCGAAAACACAATTTAACATCTATCTGTCATACAAACATCTTTACTGAAGCCTCTCAACTTGATGTTTGGTGTCGTGCATGTTTGTAGTTTATTTACACTTTTCACTCGCATTTGTAGTTTTAATCGAATTCACATCTTACAAACAATGTACTGTGGCCAATATCAGCAGTAAGAGTAAAAACGGTTCTACGCTTAAAATTTTTGCCAAAAATAGTAATCTGGGAACCATTGGCATACTCATATCAACATACAGTACTACGATTAGGTACAAACTAATTATATTTTTAAATACCATTAAGGACGGACAGTATGGGTTGTTGCTAGATCGGATATGGTTGCGGCCGGAAGTTAACGAGAATTATTTATATTATTTATTACATTTCCAATTTATCGTATTTTATTAATGCCTAATATTAATTATTGTTATACAGTGTCATAAAAAATGCTCATATAATTAATATACATATCGCATTTCGGCCGGCCGCATGTCCGATATAGACTTTACCGATAGTATGCGAATAGAGTGGAGAAACTATGACATCATCTTGTTGGCTAATCGGCTGCTAGCATAAAATACATTTTGTTTTGCTTTACGGTTGTGGTAAAAGTTTTAAAACTGTATGTATAAATGTGCCTACATAGTATTATCATAAGACATTTTTATGAGAGGCTAAGACAAGTGCATCACAAGTCTACATGCCTGCAAGTTCCATCGTGGATAACACTTAATGTTTTTCTTTGGTCACGAAGTACAGCGAAAAGCAGCCACAGTGTAAATATTGCCGTTATGACATAGAGTTAAATGTGTTCAGATGAAGAAAAAAAAGACGGAAAATCAATTGATCATGTTAAAATGACAGTTAATAGGCATGTATTTTTACACATTTATTCACACGTTTGCATTACTGAGAGCAGGAAAGAGACAGGTTGCATTGGTAAGCAGTATCTTCATAATATTGTGTAATTAAAATGAATAATCAACAAATTAATCTGTCTTGACAGTCTTTACAAGTTAAGGTGGTCACTTTACAAGTAAAAAATACTACAAACTAAAAAGTTTCATACTATTCATGAAAATATTTAAATAACAGACAAATCGAAATGTCCAACACAAGCGAGCTGTGTTCCAGACTCAATGACGTATAATAAACCGCCTGTAGTCCCATTTAGCAACTTGATCAACCGTCCTTTTAAAGAAGCGTAACCGATTTAAAAAATCGAGAGTGTGATGTAACTGATGTGTTTTATGTCATAGAATAAAACATGAAAGTTTCTTGAGTAGGCTCACAGCAAGAAGGTCGCTGGGTCGCTGGTTCGAACCTCGGCTCAGTTGGCGTTTCTGTGTGGAGTTCGCATGTTCTCCCTGCCTTCGCGTGGGTTTCCTCCAGGTGCTCCGGTTTCCCCCACAGTCCAAAGACATGCGGTACAGGTGATATGGGTAGGCTAAATTGTCCGTAGTGTATAAGTGTGTGTGTGGATGTTTCCCAGAGATGGGTTGTGGCTGGAAGGGCATACGCTGCGTAAAAATTTGCTTGATAAGTTGGCGGTTCATTCCGCTGTGGCGACCCCGGATTCATAAAGGGAGTAAGCCGACAAGAAAATGTATGAATGAATGAGTTTCTTGAGTTTGTGTCAGCCACAAACCTTATTTAAGCAATTTAACCGAAATCTTATTTAAAAAACAAATTTGAATTTGGGACGAGGGAACCGGAACTGCTATAATGCTAACTCGCTTCCTGGTTTTTGCATACAAATTGACGCCATAGTTCCTCCACTCTATTGTGAAAGGTTTTATTAATTTTTTTCAATGTATGTGAACTGTACCATATAATTACACCTTTTATATTTATTTTATAATTCTATTTTGTGGTCAGAGTTGTGCCAACATAGCTGTTAGATAAGTTAAAGATATAAATAAATTGTCTACACTAACTATATAAAATCCTGAATGAAAACACCAGGATGAAAAATCAAGAGAAAACAAATTTCAATAGAAAAAGCCTTAAAGAAAGCAAATTTCACTGAGGCGTTTTTATTACTTTTCATCTTGCAGATTTACTTTCCTTATTTTAAAGGTGTCTAAAATGTCAAATAAATCGGATGGTCATACAAAAAAGCTCCCAGCTAACCTCCACTAAGCACCATAATAGCCTACCCGGAGCGTCTTACTGAAGCAAACATCTCTTCCCTCACTCTGGTGATAACAGCTCCACGAATGACAACATTTACACATGTGCTCGCTCCACAACAAAACAATTCGCTTAATGCGAGACAGCAGCGGCTTTCACACCGGAATGGGTTGTTTGTTGTAGTTTTTTAGGTGCTCGAAGCTTGTACGGCTTCGTTCCGTTGCGTTACAAACAGAGGGAATGAAATAAGTATCTGACGGGAACGCAGAACGGCACGAGAAAAAGCACTCAGACGTGAACGAGGACTAAACTTCTCTAGAAGAGACGGAAAAGATGCGTTTGTAAGAAGATAACCCTTCTCAACAGGTAAATGTTCTTTATATATTTCATTTTTATTCAAGTGTACATTCCTTCACGTTACCGCTGTATCAGTTCAGCTGTCTGTGTGTGTGTGTGTGTGTGTGTGAGTGTGAGGGAGTGTATTATCTCATCCGCAGTAGCGATGCTCGCATACTAACTAACATGCTGCAGTGAACTGCACAGTAATGAATTTAAGGCACCAAACAATAATAATTTTGACCTAAAGTATTCATTTTTATTTGCATAACTATTTATAGATGTCTGTACTTTCTTGAGAAAACGCTAAAGGAAACGTGTTCATATTTGCTAGTGTTTTATCCTTGTTGACTTGAACTTGTGAAGTCTCTATCATCTTGACAGTTTAAAGATGAAATGTGTTCTCTTATTCTTTATGTATTGTGCATGCATTAGTCACTGTCATCTGAAGATCTGAAGAACATTTGCATATCTTGTTGACTGGGTTATAAATAAGCGTTTCTGTCTGGTTTCAAGTCGTTGTACTTTAGCTTTTGATGGCATTAGTGAAAGAGTGGATGCTCTGCGTGGCTTGTTTTTGTGTTTAAAGCTCCGGTGGTCAGTTGCCTCAGTAAAAGCTTCATTTATCACCACCTTTGACACATCCATCATGTGGGAGCCTCTGCTGGGAAAGTGCTGTTGCTTAAAGGGATAGGTTACATAAAACGCCTGTCATTATTTACACCAAAGTTGAATGAGGTTTCTTGTATTTTTGAAAATAAAGGAGAATTTTTAAAGAATGCACTGGTGGGACATTGAACACATAGTGTATACTCTAACTTTAGCAATTAATTTGGTTATTTTGTTAATTGTAAATGTTTGAAAGCCATATTATGTTCATATTGCAAGAAGACATATTCTGACATCAAGTGAGTTGTTAAAATAAATATTTGCTTTTAATTTGTTCACCCTCCTGTTGGTTCATTCCGCTGTGGTGAACGCTGATAAATCATAGACTAAGGTGAAAGAAAATGAATGAATGCGTTCTCCCACACTCTCAGAAAAATGTTGCAATGTTGTACCAAAGAAGGTACACACCCTTGTCACTGGGGCAGTACCTTTTTCACAGGTACACATCTAATGCATGAAGGTACCACTACAGTGACAATAAACTTCGTACCTAAACAGTGTGAAATGCGTTCCTTCAAGAGCAATTAAAAGGGATTTATTATATTCAAAACGCGTCAATTTATATTCAGTAAACATAAAACATCAAATACATTTAAGAAACAATGTTTCAGTTTACACAAGTTTCTTTTTGTGTAAAAACACATTTTCACTTTACAATAAAGTGTTTATAATTCAATACTTTAACATAAGAAAATCTAGTTGCTGCTAAACATTTCACACTTTTCACAAAAATGTTACAGCAATACATTTTCCCATGTACAATATAAAAAAGCTCCACTTTTTACAAAATACCTTTGTAATCCCCTAACAGTTCATTTAATTTACTTAATTTTAAACTAGAAGTAGAATTGTACAAAAGTATAATGATACCATTTATGCACACATAAAACAAAAAATAACAAAAATAACATTCACAATTCCATTTTTATAGAGGAGTGACTGTGCATATCTGGTTCAAGCATACAAAATGTCATAAACCATACAAAAGTCAATTGCATGGTAGTGCAGTTCCTCTTCTGGCATCATACAAAACCAGTCTTGCTCATATGAAATCTGAAAACGACAATTATCCTCTTTAATGACATTGTTATTATCAAATGTTAGTTTTGTTCTCTGTAGACATCACACCTCCTAAACAACTTATACTTAGGGGGAAAAATTGATCAAGTTTAAAGTAACACAAGTAAACTCATGAACATAATTCAGTCCTATATGTTTAATTAGTTTTACCATGTCTGCATGAACACTTTGCATATGCAAATGGTTATGGGATCTTCACAGTCTATAACACTAGATTAAAAGTCCTGACAACTGCATTTGGCAATAGTAAAGGCTCAAAGGCTACCAGCACATTGAGAGTCATAAAAGCATATGCACACAAAAACAAAATTAAAGGGTTAGTTCACACAAAAAAGAAAAATTCTGTCAATAATTATTCACCCTCGTGTTGTTCTAAATTCCTTAGGCCTCAGTTTCAAAACACAATTTTTTTTTAGTGAAATCCAAGAGGTCTCTCATCCTCCATAGACAGCAATGGTCCAGGCTTGTTTAAAGTCCAGAAAGGTACCAAAATAAACATAATCAAAATAGATCATGTGTCTTCAGTGGATCAATCAGAATAATTTGAAGCTATAAGAACACATTTATGCACACATAAAGCAAAAATAACAACTTTATTCAGCAATTTATTTTCCTCATTGTCAGTATAGGGCAAGTGTTTATGTGTACTGTGCACTGATGTACTGTATACCACGAATGCCAGCATGTGACTGAAACAAAAAAAGCATAGATGCATCAGAGGCATCGCAGCAGTGCAATCAAGTGCAACACATAAAAAGGAGCAGTCTTGTAAATGTGTGCCCTATAGTGATACCGAGGTAAAGAAACTGTTGAATATAGTCATTATTGTAATTTTATTTGCACACTTCAGTGTATTCTCGTAGCTTGATATTTTTTAGATTGAACCATTGAAGGCTTTGGGTGTGTTTTAAGGATGTTTTTGGTATTTTTTTATATCTCTGAACTTTTATTGCCTAAATGGAGGATAAGTGGCTCTCAGATTGCATCTAAAGTATATTAATTTACATTGCAACAAAAGAAAATTAAATGTTGTGGCTTCAGACAACACACTGAGATCTAAAGTAGTGAAACAATCAGTTATTAGCATTGTTACTTTTAATCCGCAGTCTTGCAAATGGTCCTCAGCACTGTCTGCATGAGTTTTATGGTTCATCAATTGGTACTGTTGCTTATCCTAGATGCTGCAACCTATGTCAAAAGTAAGATTGCTTTCACATGCTCTTTTACAATCTGGAAGAATCGCTTGACAGATAACCGATATAAGATATACATCATTATGTGACAGAAAGTTTGTGCTCCAAATTGTTTTGAACAGGCTTTGGACCATTTCCCCGAGGCTGTAGATCAAAGCTAATAATGTTGTAAATAATGTTCAGTTTCTTGCACAGACTAATCGTTTCGCTTCATAAGAGCTTTGATTTAGTTTCCCAGTATATGTTTTATGAATCTCTAAGGACCACGCTTGCAGCTAAAGTTTTCTTTAATGTGAAGAAAGAAGTCAACTGCATTTTGGATGGTCTAAGGATAAGTCAATTCACTATTTTTGAATGAACTATCCCTTTATGTGTTTCACAACTAGTGATTATCTAGTTATGGCAATAAATTTTATCACGGTTATTTAACCCTAAATATTGTGCAGTTGAAATTTCAGTCACATTTTACCATTAAAATGAAGTGGTATAAGTAGGCCCACACGGAATCTGTGCGTGCAGAAATCCGCAGATTTCCACAGATTTTTTTGCCTATCATTGAGTGTATTTACTTACTCATAATTTCTAAACGTTGATAGCTAGCTCTCTGCAACTCTCACATGGTTACCCACTGAAGCTAAGCAGGGCTGTGCCCGGTCAGTACCTGGATGGGAGACCACATGTGAAAGCTAGGTTGATGCCGGAAGTGATGTTAGTGAGGCCAGCAGGGGGCGCCCAACCTGCAGTCTATATGGGTCCCCAATGCCCCAGTATAGTGACGGGGACTCTATACTGCTCAGTGAGCACCGTCTTTCGGAGATGTTAAACCGAGCCTGATTCTCTGTGGTCGTTAAAAGTCCCAGGATGTCCTTAGTTTCACCCCGGCATCCTGGCCAAATTTGCCCACTGGCCTCTGTCCATCTTGGCCTCCTAACCCTCCCCATATTATAATTGGCTTCATCACTCTGTCTCCTCTTCACCAATCAGCTGGTGTGGTATGTGCGGTCTGGTGCAAAATGGCTGCCGTCGCGTCATCCAGGTGGAGGCTGCTCACTGGTGGTGGATGAAGAGATTCCCCTCCATTGTGTAAAGCTCTTTGAGTGCCCAGAAAAGCGCTATATAAATGCCAGGAATTATTATTATTATTACAAAATAAAAAATAACAAAACATTTACTCAGTTGTTAAATTAATTTTTAGTAATATGGACAAATATGAAAATGTTCATATGATATATTTATAATACAGTTTGTAAAGTAACATTTTCTGTCTTTTAGTACACATATCATATAAGTTGCTTGTTTTGTTTACTATTTAAGTGGATCTAATTGGATTTGTACTGTAAACATTAAATAAAAGATGAAGTGATATTATTATTTATTTCATATATTTAGTTTTTAGTTATGATACTCTCAAAATCATGAAAGCATAATTCTGCAGATTTATTATTATTATTTTTTACAAAATTCTGCACATAAATAGTAAAAAACGTTTGCAGATTCTGTCTGGCCCTAGGTATAAGCATGCAAACATAATGCGATTAAGGATTAATGTGTCAAACTATGCTGCAAATACTATTATTATTAACATTTCAGTCAAATGTTTACTGTGTTAAATGTCTTATTTAGACAGTTTTTTATGTAAAAAAGCAAAAAAAAAAAAAAAACAAGTTGGAAAAGCCACAGTATTAAATATATAATATAATATATATATATATTTTTAACTAATATTATAGTTATTAGACATTAATATTCTGCACAGTTAATTATATTCTGCAAACAAAAATATAGATGATTTTTAAGTTGAGCAATAATACAGTTAGCCTACTGTTGAATAAAATGTATTAGTAATTAAATAGTTTTTTTGTTTATCATTTGTAATGTTTTGCTTTTTTACGTCTGTCTGTAGGGACGTTTTTTTTTTCTTTTAAATTTGTAACTTTTTAATTTGTTGAAACTTGCATAAAAACATTGGCTTTCTTTTTTCATAGCCCTTAAGTTACTCATTATTTGAATCCAATATTGGCAAAAATGTGGAATAACCTTTCTTTTTTATTAATGCATTTTAATAAATCACATTTCTTTATAGAAAAT